ATGATGATAATAAGGATAACAAAATAATCATGATAATAACATGGAAAAACATGATATCTAAGAATGATATTGATAATAATGCTGATAACTGTCAGTGGCAATAATAATGATGACAAACAAGTCCTGATAAGGATAAGAAATACAAATATTATGAAAAGACATGATTGATGGACATTTAAAAGTGAAATAGCTATGAAAAGGATAGAGGTAATGAAAAAAATAATGGTAATGATAAAGAAAAAGATGATAATTAGAGTAATGAACATTTATGACTTTGGTAATGATAATGGAAAGGATGACAAAATAGAAAAAAAGAAAAGAAAATGGTATTGATAATAAAGAAAAAAATGTAATGACAGTCATACAATTATCAAAATCAAATGAAATAATAATAACTTACTGATGATGAAAATAATTATAATGATATGAGGATCAATGATGGAATAATAGGATCACTAAAAAAATAAAATAATCTATATTAATGATTTTGACGAATAAAGATAAAAAGACAATATTGATAATAATCGTAAAAATCAGAAAATAATAATGATAAAAAGTAGTAATAATATTTATGAAAATTATTATACAAATAATGAAAGAATGATAATAATAATAATAATAGGGAATATGATGATGGCAGTAATAATTACAATAACAATAATAAAACAATAATGATGATAACAATGATAACAAATATAATTATAATAATAATAATAAAAGATAAGAATAATGATAATGGTCATATTGCTAATAATGATAATAATAATAACAATGATAGTAATAACAATAACAATATTGAGAACAAAAATGACAATAAGAACAATGTCTACAATGATGATAATAAAAATAATGGTAATAATGATAATCATAATTGTGATAATAGTAATAATAATAATAATAATGATAATAACAATAGCAATTATTGATGTTGTTATTATTACTACTACTGTCAAGATTATTATCATTGTTATTATGATGATCTATGATCATTACTATCATTATTATTATCATCACTACCATTATTACTATCATCATAATGATGCTGATAATAATAATAACAATAATTATAAACATGATAAAAATAATGGTAATAGTAGTAGTAATTGTTATTGTTAGAAAATAATACAGAAATCAAGGCAGTAAGATAATAATAAAAGTTTATGGTAAGAATAGGTAATAACAATAACAATGATAATGATAATTATAATCATTATTGATATCAACTGCACCTGATACTATTTTACACAAATATTATGTAATCCGAAAATAAAATCTGTAATATTTAGAAGAGAGAGAGAGAGAGAGAGATGAGAGAGAGAGAGAGAGAGAGAGAGAGAGAGAGAGAGAGAGAGAGAGAGAGAGAGAGAGAGAGAGAGAGAGAGAGAGAGGCTGCCTCGTCCCTTTAACTCGGTCGCGACTTGGCTTCTCAGGCTGTTTCGCGACACCCCGAATGGCGCCTTATTTCTCCTCCAAATTATCCCGCCGGCGGTTCATTTCGATATAATTAGACTCCGAGAGAAGGGAAATGGTGCCTGGGCAGCGTGTTGCAGCAGGTTCGATCGGCGGGCGAGGGCCTTCCCTCGGTTTCACCTGCGTGTCCCTTTCTCTCTCGGGCACTGCAAGGTGTCCCCGTTTTTTACCTGCGAAAAAAAGCCCTTTGCTAGCCCTTCGACGGAGCCCTCGGCCTCGTCTCCGCTGCTCCCCGACTCTAAGCCTTCTGAAGGGGACGCCCTTGCCTTCCTCCCGCCCCCAGGGTCCATAAAGGGCGCGCCCTTAGCCCAAAGCACCCAAGGAGCGTTCAAACCCCGCGCCTTCGTCGCCGTGCTGCGCAGAGCGAGCTCAGGCGACGTTGCGAGGGCGAGGGCCCCCGCACCCTGGCCCCCGACGCCCTCGAGGCCCTTGCTGGCCCTCGAGCCCTGGTCGTCGAGGCCGAGTGGTCCTCGAGTGAGGCCCTCGGAGGCCCACCGTCCCCTGAGGTCGGGCTGAGGGCCGGGGTCGGGCGCCGTTGGTCGGGCCGCAGTCAGCTTTACGGCCATTACGCGTCGGTCGGGTCGGGCCCGTCGGCGCTCGGCGGCGCGGCGGCCAATGGCCGCGGGGCGCACGGACGCGGCGCGCCAATGGGAGCGCGTGCGGCGGCGGCGCCGCGGGCGAGAGGAGAGTGACAAAGCGCACCGGCCTCAGTGCGAGCCGCCATTTTGGTTTGACTACTACTCGGCCGCGCTAAATATTTTCGGGCGCGACGCCGTGACTCGGCGCGGCGATGGACGGCTGAATTGGACCCCGGCAGCGTTAGCAGGAAGCTTGATTCTCGCGGGGCGAGAGAAACATGTGGAAAAGCGAGCGCGGAGATGAGAGTGAGGTCGGCGCGGGAAGTTTGCGGAGGCAGCGGCTCAGGGGAGCTGCGAAGCTCGCTTGTAGTCCCCCAGGAGATGTCCGCCTCGCCACGGCCGCGATTTCCGGCGCGTGGATCGGTGGCGGCCGCCCACAGGAGTCGCTAGAGCAGCCTAGAGTCGTGACGAATGCCCTGCCAGCGCGAGAGGCACGCCAGAGACACGCCACACAGCGAGCAAAAGCAAAGAGGAGTGCTTTGGTGGCACCAAGGGTTCCGCGTCGAGCAGCGCGTCGTAACACAAGGACGCCATGCGCCGGCAGGCAGCTGGGCAGCGAGCCGCCCAACAAGCGGGCAAGATACGACCCCTTCCAGGCCTCCGACCCCCGGTGAGTGCCAGCCAGCCCCTGAGCCGCCCCTGCCGCCCTGCGGAAGCCGCCAAGTAGTGAGGGGGCGTGGGCGCCCTTCAGGAGCCGAGAGACAGCCGCCCCCGCCCGGACACTCACCTGGTGGCTCGGGCGGCCGTCCTCACCTGGCCGGCGCCCGCTCGCCTGGCCCGCACGGCCCCATGACGCCCACGCCCCCCACGCGGGCCCTGCATGGCCAGGCCACGGGCGGCCTGCAGGAGGCGTCCTGGAGGAGTCCTGGAGCGAGGCACTGGCACTCGGGCCTCGCCAGGGCCATCCCTCGGGGCCTCCAGGACCCTGTTTTCCTTCCAAATTCTCAGTGGGGGCTTTTCCAGGCCGGGCTCTTGGTATTTGACGCCGTTTGTGCTTTTGTGGGCTCAGGAGGTGCTCTTAGGCAGCCACAGTGACAGGTCTTGCAATCCCAGCAACAACAACAACAGGGAAGTTCAGAGTTTATTTTCCAGGCCTGGCCCTCGTGGCCCGCACGGCCCCAGCCTTCTGAGGGAATGTGGTTTCCTGGCTGCTGAGCTGTGTGTGAATTTTTCCGCGTATCAATTTCTTGTGTTTTGGGGTGATATAGGGACTTCTGTCGTCCAAGTGGAGGGGGAGTGTCTGAGGCTAGTATTTGGGCCGGAATGTTCTAGAAGATGGTGCAACACACGCTAGGGGGAATGTGTTGAGTTCTGGCGAAGATTGCATCAGTGTTTTTTGTCGACAGAGGGATAGGTTCCTCCCACACTCCTCGGTCTCTTCACCCCCAGGCCCCAGTTCTGGTTAGGGGATGGCTTGAGTGGCTGGTGAAATTTCCGGAAAGCATAGTGGACACAAGTGTGTGTGGCAGAGTGTAATTTTTGGGCAGTTGTACCCATTTATTTAGCAGGGATTGGAGGCATCCAGGAAACAGCTGATTTTGGCCCAGGCTTTGTTTACATTGCCCATTTGAGAGAGTTTGTCAAGTTTTTAAATAAATTTGGGGGAATTTGAGAAGTGAATGGGCATTATTATGGGATATGGAGGGAGTATTAATATTTTTCTTGTTTCTGAAGGCTAATTTAATGGCATTTTTGTTAATTTAGGGAGTTTAGATACATTGGGAACTTTGTTGCCAATCAGTGTGTAGTTAGTTGACATGTGTTCTTTGTGTGTGACTCAAAGACGGGGCAGCAGACCCTTTTTGTGATTGATTAGATTCATTTAGGAGGTTTGTGCAGTTGATTTAGAATTAGATTAAGGCATATCTATGGAATTTGTTTCATGGTGTTCACAGTTTTCATGATTCAGTACTCATGTTTGTATCTAACATGGAGATTTTGCTGAGATACTTATATAACTTTTGTAAGATGTATGGTGCTGTTTTGAGGTTTTGTTTATTTGGTATGGGTTTGATCTTCTTTCCTTTGTTATGGTAGTGCTTGGAAATCTTAGCTGGATGCTTACATGAATGTCTTATTATCTTGGGTATAGATTAGTGAAGGGGAATTAGCTGTTGGAGACTTGGACCCTCTGTTGAAGAATATGGAGGCTAATCTTTGAATTTGCTTTGATAGTTGTTGCCAAAAATAAGCAGTTCTATAGGATTAACTTTGCTTTTTCAGTTGTTTTTGTGATAGTACTGATGCTAATTGTGCTTGTGTACATTTTGCTAAACATCACAATTTATATACAGCTAGATTCCTGTCCGTATGTACGAACAGCATGTTGGTTGTTCAATATTATTTTATTTGCTTTATTTTCTGTTAAGCGTATAATGTCTTAGATACTTGCATTTGATGTGTATGTATGTCTGAATTGACGGTAGTTACTTACTTGCACCATGTCACTTTATATATTTGTATTACATCATTTTGTCAGAGTGCTCAGAATCTTTGACTCTCTCCTTTAGCATACATGTTTGAAGCCTAGTTGTTTTTACCATCATCTTGGTAGTATTTGCCTTACTCTTGGGTTGAGAAGAAGCTTGACTTCTTTGTACTGTGGTGCTTTGGCATATGACTTTCTATGCAGATGTGCAGGTTTATGATTTGATTGAAACTGTGACCTCTGTTTGTGCATTTAGGTGATGAGTTACTTCATAACAAGTGTTTGGATATGTTTGGAAAACTTAAAAAAAAAAGCTGAATTATTTTTATTTATTTCTTTATTTTTAGCCTGATAATTTTAGAATAGTTTTTTCAAATTATGGAATTGTAATTTATTGTGCAGCATAGCATGGTATCCATAAAGATCATTGTGTAGTCTGTGCTTTAAGTAGTTTTGTAATCTTTGAGGAGTTAGTTGAGGATCAAGGTGTGCAAAGTTTTGTAAAAGAAATAGTGCAAAAGTGACCAACTGAGAAGGGGTAACATATTGTTTTTATTTTGAGCTCGTATGTCAGAGTGCAAGCTAGTGATGTGCAAATGTGATTTTAAAAAGTGGTCAAGATCATGAAGCTTATGAGACAAAGCTTGGGAAAATCTGGTTATATACTGTGATCCATTCATGGTTTTGAAATGAATTGGTTTGGTAAGTTGAAGACGTAGCTTCAAGTCTCAGACAAGTCCAACGCTGATTAGTTCATATATGATTTGTTGTGAAAATGAACAAAATTTTGGATGGTGCCAGTTTTTTGTTGTCATTGCTTTCCTGTTGTTGTTTTTGCTATGCTACTCAAACAAAATTCAAGTTGCTTGGCTCATGGACAGTTAAAGGGAATATTCTCAATGACCAATATGCTCATGGCCAATTGAAGAATAGCAAACTCTTTATTCTTGAGTGATTTTAGGCTACATATGTTAACTGTAATTTCAGTTTTGTGTGTGTGTGTGTTTTTATTTATTTATTTATTTATTTTTTTTTTTATTTTTTTTTATTTATATTATTTTTTTTTGGGGGGGGGTAATATGATCTATATCATGTGTAAATTTTCCTGCTTTGTGGATGGGTGGGGGGTTAGTGTAATGTGAATTAATTGTAAATTTTCCTCTTGATTCACTTGGAGGTGCCTTGGAACCTCCAGAGGGCAGTTCCTTTTTGCTGCAACATGGTTAACCCTCCAGTTTGGGCAGCTTGCCTGGGCTAGAATGGCAGGACTTCTTTGTTGAGTTTCAATGTGCCTCTTGGTGTATCCTTGTCATTGTGCTTCAGTTGTGCTTTCTTGTGGCAGGCAGTTCTTTCTCCTTCCTCTAGTGCTTTTTAAAGAAAATGTTCACATCTTCCTGATCTTGAGAAAGTGAATTGCATCCCTGGTGATTTGGATAAGGAAGGAAAAGGAAGTCAGCAAGTGTCACATCATAGACTTTCATGCTGTAATGAAATCCAGTTTGGCTTGTTTGGAGCAGGTCCTCTTTTCAGGACTAGTTATAGTGAATTAGTTTTGTGTCAGATAATCTATCTTTAAATTTGGCATGGCTAACAGTTTTAGCATATATTAAAATTTATTTTTAAATTCATTTTGTGGAAAGGCCATAGTGCAAAATTTAATTGATGTGTTGTATTGATCGTGTAGGAATCAATTTGAGTTAGTGAAAGGAGCACTGTTTGTTTTTGGTCGGGAATGTTGTTTTGCTGACCACTGCATGAAAGTATTTATCAGTAATGCAATTGTAAAGTAGTGGCTCTCAGGATTTTGTCCAGTTTTACCCCCTACTTACTATGACAGGGTTGAATTGCACTAAAGTTTGCTTCTTATATTTTATTTGTTTGTGTTGTTGTACAAAACAAAGGGTTACAAAGTTTATGTATTCAGTTTTTTTCCTTTATTTCATTTACAATAGGTTATTAAAAAAAAAACACATTTCAGTATTTTTTTTTTTTTTTTTTTTTTTTTTTTACAAAATTATCCCTGTTGAGAACTTGAGGATACCAGATCTCGGATGAAAGCACCTCACAGATAGTATCCCGGCCCACTTTGCATTGAACCTTTGCTTTATGGTTAGCCAAGGCAATATATTGAAGCTGAGATTTTGTGAGAATTAATAAATCTATGGAAGGCTTTTGAGAGGATCAATCTTTTATTAATTTTTATATCTTATTAAAATATTGATCATATAGAATAAGGACCAGACATGATTCTTAGCTATTTTGTGCAAGAAGTGATACAAGTGATTATTACTTGCAGAGGTAGAATAGATAGAGTAGTCTGCATTTAGATTAGAATAGTGCAATAAGATTATTGCTGATACTTCTCATGGAAAAAATAACCCTTTTTCTTTTCTGCAACAAGGGATAGGCCTACAACAGTATACACCCAGGAGAGAGAGTTTGATGTTACACAGGTAAATTTATTTACTAATTTCTGTTTGTATTTGCAGAGGTCGCGGCAATGCTGGAAAATGCCCTGCCAGATGACTTGATGTGGGGAGGAGACTCTCAGGGCTCTGGCGGCGGCGGAGGGGGGGTCAATGGCATGATGGACGGAGGGGCTGGTGGAGGAGGTGCGGGGCCGGGTGAGAGACCCCAGCAGTTGACACACCTCCTTCAAGCCAAGAACACCCCCCAGTCCATGGCCGGTAACAACACCATGACCGCTGGGCCGCATAGCATGGCCAACCAAAGCAATATGATCGTCAATGCATTAGCTAATTCCAAAAGTCCGCATGGGGCAATGCAGTCTCCCCAGAACACTAATATGAACATGACTGGCGTTCCGACGTCAAGCCAACAACTAGGTATGAACGATAATGTTAATAATTTGAACAGTATGCCCAATAGTATAGCCAATTCGATGGCGGGCAGTGTGTCGGGAAGTATGTCCATGACTTTAGCCTCAAGTGGCTCTTCCATGAACCTAGTGAATACCAATGCGACAATGGGCATGAACAGTATGGCAAATAGTGGTGGCATGACGGCAGGCATGAATACAGTGACAAACATTAATAGTATGAACACTATGAACTCCATGAACAAACCCCAAGGTGTTGTCAGTGGAATGACCATGAATGCCCCGATGGGATCCCAGATGAATGACGGGATGCCCAACGGGCCCCTGCCGGGCATGAACAGGCCCATGGTGCCCAGTCTCAGAGGGCCATCCCCGCAGCCCATTGGCGGGGGGCCACAGGGGATGGGTCCGCGCCACCCCTCCATGGGCCCGACTCACGTAGGACCCAGATTGCAGGTTAGTGAGATACCAACCCCCTGTTGTGTGTCATTTAATTTTATGCTTTGCTCAATTTTGCAGATGTGAATTAAATGTGAAAAAAGAAGTGGAACCACTATTTATATACCGATTATGTATGACTTCCTTTTTTAAACATTCTGCAAGGTCCTATTTCCCCAATTCTTTCTTTGTCCCCCCAATCATGATTGACAAACATACAACTTATGCATTGCAACAGGGTTACTTTTTTGTGAAAGTAATAGCTTAGTTTTTATTCCCTCCCGTGAGTATTCATAGTATTTCTTGCTTGTCATTTTGTTAGCAAGATGTGTTTCAAATTCAAGTCTAATGACTTGCTTCATGTTCTGATTCAAGATTTCACTGTTAGAATGGGTGTTTCCTCAATCAATATTCTCTATATTTGCGTTACGTAACTTTGATTATTTTAGAGATTTGGCCTGTTTGTTCGGATTGTGTGAGGCCCGACCCAAAGCATATTTATTATACAGATAATATATATACACAAAAATAAGTGCATATCTGTGTCTAGACATGCATAGCTACCAGATAAATAGATAAGTATCAGATAGGTAAATATATGCATCAGACAGACAGACATGCATTTATTTCAGTGTATATGCATGTCTGTATATAGGAATATTCATTGGGTCGTGCCTTGCATGATTTAAAATAAACTGGCCAAGTGTTCAGTGTTCTGCATCCTTCAGAAAATTGTCATCCCTCACTGTTACCCTTCACAATTCCATCTGCTTTTTCAGTTTCCTCCATATTTTCCGTAATATCTCTCTCTCTCTCTCTATTTTATAGGGTGCATTGTGCCATAATAATTATTTTGTAACCTCTAGTAAACTGCTTTTTTTGGAAAGTTTCTTTAACATGTAGCCTGGTTTGGGTTAGCATTATTTCAATCAGTGCCAATTTCTTTGTACAATACTTGCAAATTGTGAAGTTCCAGATAGTTCCCCCCCCCCCCCCCTATCAATTACTGCCTAAGCAATCCCTCTTTCCATGCTATTTAGAATTTACAGTTCCAAATCATAACCCCCCTCCCTTAAATAATTCACTGACCAAGTACATTTAGAACATATATATACTATAATTATAATATATTATTATATATATACATAGTAGCATAGATATATTTAATATAGATATGATATATATATGTATATATATAGATATATGTATAATATATAATGTATATATAAATAATATATATGGCCACATATACATATACACATATCATATATATCATGTATATATACTATATATATTCAATATATATACATGTATATACAATATATATATAAATATATATATGATATTATATGTATATAAATATAAATATATATACAATACATATATAAATACATATTATATACCACTAATTTATATATATATAATGTTTTTTGTATGTATATACACACACACACTATTATATATATATATATATATATATATATATATATAGTATTATCATATGTATATATAATTTTTTTTTTTTTTTTTTTTTTTTTTTTTTTTTTTTTTTTTTTTTTTTCTCATGCACACTCACCATCATTGTATATCCCAGGCAAGGTCTGAATTTCCCATTATTTCATTACACTTGTGTTTGTGTATTCTCCGGCACTCATTTCTGTTACTGGTCTGTGTCCATGTTGAACTGCCCCACACTCCTCCATTTTATACCATATGTTCCTCAGTTCTGTATTAAAAAAAAAAAATCTTGTCTCCACATATATGGGTTCTATAATATTATGATCCTAATTATCCTCTAGACTGGGAATTGTGCAGGACGCATGAATGGTTGGGAGCAAGACAGTCTGAATGTCAGGTTTGCTGTCCAAATTTTTAAAAATGTTTATTCAAGAAAAATTTACTTGTATTTAAAGAGCGTCTCCTGGCTACAGGATGTCCTTGCCTTACTTTTGAAAGGAGGAAGGTAGGTGATGAAAAATGTAAAGAATAAAGCTTGCCTTTGATTATGAAAATTTTGCAAAATGCCCTACATTGAGTGTAGTCTACAGTGAGCATCGTTGGCTCCAACAGGACTCGTCTCTAGAAAGTCGGTATATTCCATGACAGAGAAACATAGACTGGGAATATATCTCTATACAAGGGTCTTGATAGCTAGTACGAATGAGCTAGGGATGTCTGGATCTCTCATCTCCAGCTCTCTGTCTCTGATCTCCTGCAGTTACTCGTGTCGCTCTCTCAGGCTCTCGATCGTCTCTCTCTTCTCTCTCAGCATCACTTCACTCACAGTCACTCCACACTCATCACTCTCTTCACTCATCTTCTCGATCTCTCGTCTCTCTATCGATTCCTCTCATCTCTCTCTTCTCTCGTCTACTCGTCTCCTCTCACTTCTCTCGCATCGTCTCTCTCGTACTCTCTCTTCTCTCATCTTCTCCTCTTTCTCACTTCAATCTCCCTCGTCTATTTCTCTCCTCCTATCTCTCCTCTGTTCTCTCTCTCTCTCTTTCTCTGCCTTCATCATCTTATCTTCCCGTCTCTCTCTTTCTCTCTTCTCACTTGAGCGTAGACAGTCTTTCTCGTACTCTATTGAGCGCTCGTTAATCCTCGTCCTCTTCGACCTCCC